GATTTCCCTTGATCTCCCTGAATTTACTGTTGCCTGGCCGGGGGGGGGGGCAGGGGGGGGGGGGGGCTTACCCCAAGCTGATCTTAGGAGAGAAGGAACACTGGAACAGCAGAGGGTGCGTCAGTTTAAGGTCCCAAAGGACCAGTCCCCCCTCTTTTATGCAACACCAGATACTAAACCATCTCCAGGAATTACAGGCATGTGCCAAGACGCCAAGTGGGCAGGATGCCTCCCAGGTGCAACCCTTCCCATGCCCAACTAAGAAGGAAAAGGTGGTAACGGCAGAGGGGCCAGTGCCCCACAGTGGCACCCACGTCTTGCCCTTTCAGGTCAGGCTGCTTCAGCTTATCTTTTCTTTCTCAAGACAAAAATGGACGTGAAGCCCGTTTCTGAAACTGAAAAGATTTCCCAGATAGAGGCCTTTCAAAGTATTGGACTACAGTTCCCATTATCCCAGGCTGCCTAGCTGCTGGGCAAAGGGGTGAACCATACCAGTGGTAAACAGGCTGTGTTCGCTCTTCACCCTAAGCCAGGTACTTTTAATCATGGTTTCTAGAACAGGCTTGATTCACTGATGCTGTTAAGAAAGGGCGGGTTTGCCCGTCCTGCTAAGTGGAGAACCACCAGCTGCATCATGGTTTAGCATTACTGTCAAACTTCACAGGACTTTAGGTAATCCTTTTTTAATAAACTTCCCACCACCATCACCTCTACCACAAAACGTGAAGTACCGGGTGGAATAGATAACACCCTAGGAAAACCCTCCCCCCTCCCCAAACACCCCACGGTCTTATCTCTGCATCTGGCGAGGAGGCCACTCAATGGCAGGTTCTAGCAAGGAGCCCCCAGCTGAGGACTTGGCCCATGCCTGGTTCTTGGCTCAGCGACCCTTGGGCCCCCCAAACACTGCCTCCTTCTCAGGTCCTGGGCAGGGGCGGCCCTCCCGCACCATCTGAGCGGACCCCCCGCCATACGCTCCAAATGTCGAACAGCTCTCTCCTTCCTGATGTCCGAGACCTGCAAGTCCTTCAGCAGCAGTTGGGTCATTAGCTTCTCCCTTCAGATTTGCCCCGTTCATCACCCACTTCTCGTATCCCTGTGCCTCTTTCCCTAGACGCTACGCGTGGGCTGCTGGCCAAGACGTATGGTCTGAGATGAGGGCTTGGACATGGGCAAGAACTGCTGATGCCACCAGGGTGGCAGTGCTCTCCTTGGGTCAAGAAAGAGAAATAGGCCATTTGGACTTCCCAGGACAACTCTCCTCAACCAGGAGTCCAGCAGACACGTTGGATCAAGGCTCCCAGGATTCCCAGCCGGCCCAGGCCCAGGCGCCTGGAGGATGCCCCGGTGCAGAAGGACCTCCAGGAGAAACGGAGCGTGCGTGCGCCCCAGTGGGCTCTCTCCCAGAGGAAGGTCACAAGGAGGCAGCAGTACAACCTTATCCACAGGGGGAAAGTGCCATTTGGGCCCTTGCACAGCAGACCCCAAATTGAAACTCACAAGCCCCTTGGAGGATCAGATCCTTTTAGGGGTGAACCGAGCCCATCAGCAGCAACAGGACCGTGGAGAACGGAGGCGAGAGGCTGGGGTCAGCGCCCCTGGAGGAACCCCAGCCGTTTGGGGCACAAGGAGGCGGCGGGTGAGAAGAAGAGGGAGGCTGCTTGGTAGCCCCCCAAAGGGGCGAATCTCAGCTGGAGGGGCAAGCCAGGGAGCAGGAAAGGGGCAGGAGGTCTGTCTCGGGCGAAAGGCCGCCTGAAACCTGGATCAGAAGGGTGATTCCTCCCAAGGAGGAGGAGGCCGAGCTGCCTTGGCAGATGAGGGCCGGGCTGTTCAGAATGCCAGTGGCACCCGCGGGGCATGGGTGGGGCTCACGGATGACATCAAGGCAGGCCTGGAGCCAGATTTCCTCCTTTGCTCCCGGAGGGGTCTCTCTGCTGGAGCTCATATTACCCGCTTCCCCTGGGGCAATGGTCCTCACCCAGGTGCAAAAGGGGAAGATGGGCTGAGGCCCTTGGCAGCTGTGCCTGGGGGGAGGGGGGCACCTTCTGCACCGCTGCTGCCAGCCCTCTTTACATCCGGCTGCTCGATTATCAAACTGAGTTGATCATCCCCGAATCCCTGCTTCTCTTTCTTCTTTTCGGTGCAATTATTTGCTTTATATGTTTATAAGACGCAGTGCAGCGATGCCAGGGCCAGGGAGGACTGGGAGCATCAATTTAGCCCTAATATCATCCTCTGTCACAATTGTACTCCCCTTAAATTAGATCTATAAATCATCTCTATCACCTGTTTCCTATGTTGTAAAATACCTTAATTTCTCCTCTATATTAAATTTGGCTTTATGCAAACAGATGCCGCTGGGGCAGCAGAGAGCTTAGTCTGTCCCTGAATATAACCCTGACACTTGGCCAAGTGGATAATAACAAATTGTGTTTAATTTTTAGAGGCCTTTCTGAGTTATTCATCCATAGTGACACTGAGACGGGAATCACTGCAAGCAAGCTTGTTCAATTTCCAAACCATTAACTATTCCATAAATCGTCTGTCAATTCTATGGTCCAATCTATGCAATTAGGAGACTAATATTAGGGGGCTGAGCGTTGTTCCCGTACATCTAACTGCCACTGGCCCATCATTGCAGAGAAGGGAAAATCTCCGCCCCCCCCGCCCCAGTCAGGCATACTGTCTGGAAGGGCCTGATAACCCTTTCTGTGTTTAAGCCCGTTTAAACATGGCTGGCGGGGGAATTCTGAGAGTTGAAGTCCACACATCTTAGAGTTGCCAAGCCTGAAAAACATTGGTTTAAGCCGGTGATGGCAAAACTTTGGGGCTCGGCTGTTCAAAAGTGTGAAAATCCTAACCTGGCCCCGCTGGGGATTTCCCCGCCCCCCCCCCCGACAAAAGAGAAACAATTCTTTACATATTCATTCATTAAAAAAAAATACAGTCCAGTTGTGAGTGGTACTAG